AGTCTTACCTAGAAATGTCTATAATGTGATTTTTTACAATTTCTCAGCATGTCTGAAAATAGGTTTTTGAAAAGTTGATTTTAACAAAGAATAATAACATTCTAAGAGGTCTCAGATTATTGGTGCTGAGTTTGTGCTGAATAAAAGCAAATGTAACACTTTGGGATAAATGTTTTTTAGATAGGTGAAATATTTTGAAATGTCAAGGCATGTCAGACTACCCCGAAAGTGGAAAAGAAGCCTCAGACCCCAGGAGGTTAAATTTGTCAGGCCACCCCAGCCATTTCAGTAAAAACATGTTTTTACCATGCTGTGTTTTTTCCGCAACGATTTTCTCAACTTTGAAGTTTTTATCATTGTCTAGTCTGATCTTTTGTAGCTCTTTGGCATAAAATATCCCCTCGATGATCATAACTGAAGTGTTGATGCTTCCATCCACTGCATCTTCCCCCGATAAAGACAGCGCCGAAAAACGGTTACAAAGCTCATCAAGCCATTTTTTTATCATTGTTTTTATTGGAGGAAGAACAGGGCAACATTGCATTTACAAGGACTTGACAAAATTCCACTTATTTTTTCTTTTCCCCCATGAACAACCCCCCTCCCTTACCATAAATAAATAAATAAATAAAAATAAAAAATAAAATATACATAATCACAAAGTTTGATAGTACAGTGAAGAAATGAATGTCCATTGAGTTTGGATACCTTAACCCTTTTAAAAATATACCTTTTAAATTACTTATTAATTTTAGTTTGGGGGAAGCGTTCTGCCTTTTTCAAAGTACGAGATCATTGGATTCCATATTGTATAAAAACGTTTAGTGGATCCTCTAAGAGAATATTAATTTTTTTCCAATCTTAAAAACAGCATCATATCGCTAAGCCATAGTGAAACTAAAGGTGGTTTACTTGATTTCCAATCAAGCAGTATTCTTCTCCGAGCCAAAAGGCACGCAAAGGCACAAGTGTCTTGGAGATTATTGGACATGACTGTGCCTTGCTCAAGTACTCCAAAAACAGCCATTTCAAAACTAGGATTAATATCCTTATTATATGCCTTGGACAGAGTCTTAAATATAGTTGTCCAGTAATCAAACAGTCTGGGGCATGCCCAAAACATATGGGCCAGATCTGCTTTAGCAAAATGGCAACGCTCGCATATGTCACTTACATTGGTGTATATCTTGGAAAGTCTAACCTTGCTGTAATAAAGTCTGTGGAGGACCTTGAATTGAATTAAACCTAAACGGGTACAGGAGGTTGTTCCATTTACTCT